ACACACACACACACACACACACACACACACACACACACACAAAATTATGTATGTTTATTGCTGTCTGTATTACAACTTCTTCGTCCACACTTTTCTGTCTATAATGTTTGCAGTCTTTTCCCATATTAACATAGTTGTGGTTCACTACTACGTGTCATGTCACTGTCCACCGCTGCTGTTTGTTGTCGTTCTGGCCCGCACTTGTGAACCGCCATCTTTCGCTGCGTCTTTCCCTGTCCAACATCATAAGGTTCACTACTGCGGGCCAAATATTTGTCTCGCATGAGATGTTTGTTGGAGTTCTGGCCCGCAGTAGTGAACCTCTCGGTGTTGCTGCGTCTTTGCATTTCCAACTACTTGTGGTTCACTACTGCGTGCCATATCATTGTCAACCGGTGTTGTTTGTTGTCGTTCTGGCCCGCAGTAGTGAACCGCTCTCTGTCGCTACGTCTTTCCCTGTCCAACAACATGAGGTTCAATGCCTGTCTCGCATGAGATGTTTGTTGGAGTTCTGGCCCGCAGTAGTGAACCTCTCTCTCTCTCTCTCTCTCTCTCTCTCTCTCTCTCTCTCTCTCTCTCTCTCTCTCTCTCACGCATATACACATACACACACACATCCACCCACACCCACACACACACACACACATCACTATGATGTGTGTTTAAGTGTTGCCTGTATTATTACTTTGTGCTTAGAGTAAATTTATGTCCAAAATGTTCGCTGTTTTTTGCCCCACGACACACAAGTGGTTCACTACTGCGTGCCATATCAGTGTCCACCGGTGCTGTTTGTTGTCCTTCTGGCCCGCACTAGTGACTCTCTCTCTCTCTCTCTCTCTCTCTCTCTCTCTGGTGAGGGGGCCATGTCGAAGCTACGTGTTCCCATAAATGTATGCGGTGTCTCATGCAATAGATGGAATCCGTGATTGCATCGGCTGTCAACGGTGGAGAGACATGCGCCATGGAGACGGAGGACATTCTGAAGGGTGTTGCAGATGGTAGAAAGGAAGGGAATTCGGCAGGAGGGAATAGCGCAGACTGTGCAGAGGTGTTTGCGGCAATATATGCACAGACTGCAGAGATGATGAGTGATGGTGATGAAACAGAGAATGATGCAGGAGGGAGCCCTTGTGAGACGGAAACGGTTGGGGAAGAGAGAGAAGAGGGAGGTCTGGGAAGCAGGGAATCTCTGACAGGGTGTATTGTGAAAGATGAAAATGTAGTGAAGACATCAGCAGGAGAAGAGTACCCATATGACATCAATTGGGTGTCGGGTCGTGTTCAACCGGGTATTGTTGGAGGAGCACCCTGCTTTGCGTTCAAAGTCGAAGGGACATGGTTTCCATTTCCTGCCCCCAAAAAGAATACATGACGAAACGTGACTCTGACAATCGTGTTTGACAGACTATTAAGGTTGAACGACGGGGTAACAACAGAGGTGAAAGCACGATATGCAATGGACATGTGGCGTCATCTGGAGGCGCAGGGCAAGTTCAGGCTGAACGATTTTTTGTACGACAGTTTTGATTGCGGAAAGGCATGGGTGATTGGCGAGAACGACGCAACAGGGAGTACGGCGTGCAACGAGAGCGATGCGAGGAGGGATCCTAGGTGGGGTTGGGTGCCATGTGTGATCCCGATTCCATGTGGCCGTGTGAGGATGATGATGCGTGATGCCATGGGAAATGTCTGGAGCACGCATTATGTAAATGAAAACTTCTCCTTCAGGCACCTCGACAGGGAGGTCTCAGAAGACGAGAAGAAGGCAATGACATGTAATACCCACACTGCTGGCTGCTTTTTACCGCCGCTTCGGAACCCTGTGGACTCAGAGGTGGTTGAAGGGAAAGTTTTCACTGGTGAGGATGGCAGCACATACACACATGCAAGAGGGCAGGAAGCCACGTACGATGAAGTATGCTCGCAGATATGGGACCATGTCACAATGAGGAGTGACGTTCTGTCTGCCATGAAAATTGGGGCCCGTATCATCCCTGAAGGACAGTTGCAGCAGCATATGACCCTTGAAAAGTATGGCTATCATATGAATTGGGTCCCAGGATGTTTGCATCCTGCAGTGGTTGATGGCAAGATGACGATGGTAGCAAGATTGCAATCAGGGCATTGGCTCCCATTGGGATGGATGCATGCAGGCATTGTGGAGCATTGGCAGTTCCTCGTGGTTCTGGCACGTGTCTCAATTTTCAATGTGAATGTAAAGGACCACGTCTTGGTGGTTGAACACGCAAAGCGGTGCTGGGAGAAGATAAGGGAGGAGGAGCGTCAGATGGTGTGCGCGTTTTATCACTCCATGGCTAACCAGGGGATGTGGTCCATGGTTGAGGGGAGTTTTACGGCCCAAGAGCACGGCGACGGTGAGAATAGATACATGGCTCGCATTCGCCGCAGGCACGGTTGCACGACCGTTCTTGCTTGGGTCCTGGTCGTATGTCCCATGACATATGAGCATGGTGGAGACGTCACCATGAGATTCAGAGACCCGCTTGGTGTGTCTTTCCATCTGACCTACTCAGATGGACTCCTACGAGACATTCGGTATATGCCGGAGGATGGCTTGCCAGGTTCAACGCAGGCAGGCAAGAGGACAGAGAAGCGCTCATAAATTTCCCGTTTGTCTGCTGAGGTGGAGGGCC